TCTAAGGGTTATTCCAGCTTCTTTAGCAAAGAACAGGGGAGAAAGAGAAGAGATTATGACACTGCAGGGCCTCTTTTGGGCTTCTATCAAAAGCAAACAGATGCGATCATTAGGTAGAAGCAAGTCACTCCTATAGATGCAGATTCACTTCTTGCCAGAATAGCATTTCTGAGTTGATGCTAGGTGTGAAAGCAAATCATCACATGAAATTTAAATTTAGACACTTCCAACATATGGCAAAAGTAAAACCAGTGAAGCAGTTGTAGGCACAGGGGTTTCCTCCTGCCCATATGAGCACTGCAATACCTGCCAACTGCCTAAAACACTCCTGGGATAGTATCAGAATGGCAAGAATTCATTGTTTTATGTAAAACCAGGACATGCAGAAGACTTTGGCGCCCTTAAAAATATTCCTTGTAATTCTCAACAGCAAATATTTAAATACAAAATCCATTTCTGAAAAGCTACTATCTTTGGGGTAGGAGGGAGAAATCAAAGAGCAGTTCAAGTATCAGTCTCTTACACAGTGAAAAATCAGGGGCAGAATGGTCTTTCTGCAGCTAATTGGCTGTTTAAAGTTGACAGCTTGAGCTTTTCTAGTTTTAATTTATATCTCAGCAACAAAACCAATGTTTTATTCCCAACCATTAAATGGGGTAACACATCTGCTAAAACTCTAGCACAATGGCTGGCTTTGCACTGCAACAGGAAGTGTAACCCAATAGTCTCAGAACTTCTACAAACCCGAGCCATTTCTTAATGCAAAAGGATTTGAAAATTCAGTTCACTGAAACATCTGTTAAGCTCTTGCTACTCTAACACATGATATTCTTTCTGCTCTGTTACCTGCCAACAAAAATATTTGGTTCTATGTAAGACTATCACAAGTGTGTGATAATGGCACTCTGCTTCTAATTTTATATGCCGTTGTACACTCACAAAATCACCTGAGGGTGACACTAGGTAACATACTCAGTTTAAGCTCGAAACTTACAATAAATTTATTTAATTTTAGTCTTGTATGTAAATAGTAGCATATCAGATGGGTTCTGAATGACTAGCATTAATTTAAAACAAAAGAAACAACTTAGTCAAACTGTTCTTGAGCCAACTTCCAAGATGAGAAAGAAAAAGAGAGGGAGGGAGAAAAAGTGAGAGAAAGAGCACGGGGCGGGGGAGTAATAAAAAAGCCCAAGGAAACAAAACCCTAAAGCCTTATATCAAACCAGCTAAGCATTTGCGTGGCCTACGCAGTTGCTTTCAGAGCTTCTCTTCCAGTCTGTTATTTACAGTGGCCACTTGTTTCAATTTACATTTAATTATACTATAAGCTTCTCCAATTTACTGAGTAACTATATAGTGGTAAGTAAAAGACAGGCCCTTTGAACATTAGTAGAGCTACAGTTACTACAATAATAAAATGGTAATTTATTTGCAACTATTGCTTTCTACAAAAAAATACTTGTTCTCCATTTCTGTTTCACAAATCCTTGTAGATTTTAGAACTTGAAAAGAGGTGGGTAGGAAAAAAGGAATAGTCTTTCAGTTTCCAATGCTCTACTTAAGGGAAGTACTTCCTGAATCCCTATAATCATCAGTGATTTAAATATTGTGTTATGTTTCAAAAGCTGACCAGACAACTCTCTGTGATTCAACAGAAGAGTTCACTATAACCAGCACAAACATACCATCATTTTTATGCTGTAGTCACTCATAAAAACAGGTTTGGAAAATGTGAAGTTGCATTTCTCCTTGCATTAAGGTATGACCATTTACAGAACAACTAAAATTATGCCTCTAAAAGCCTGACACTTGAAATGCAAACAAACCCTATCTAAATATGTTTGCTCTTTTAGGAAAACCAGATTCTAAGTGATCTGCAAGCCTTTTCTTTAAGCAGAAACTTAAAATAGCCTGACTTCATAAAGTGTCCTAATTACTGAAATTAAGTCACCATAGTCGCAGTAAGTAACAACAAACAGGTGAATAAGAATGTGATACTAGAATACTGATTCTCAGTGCTTCAGGGAATCAGCTAAAACTGAACAGCTACCAGCAGTGTTTCCTAAGCTAAATTTTGTCTTGCTGAATATCCCAAGTGCCATGCGCCAGAGGCTGCATGACCTCTCCCCAAAATGACAATTCACAGTATGCAATAACATGCATTTCTGAAGAAAATACTACATCCTCATCAACCAAAGTGGAGCTATTCAACATTCAAGAACTGAACAACTACATTAAAAAATATATTTCAGATACACAATGTATATTTCTTCATTGTTGGAAACAAAACAAAATAATTACCGAACTGTTATGATTTCTAGTAAGTAAACTTTAAATAGATGATGATAGATAGAAAATGATGACAACTAAGACAAAGGCATGAAGACTAATTTCTCAGTAGCAACTTGCAGCTGGAATAGAACATAAGAATTATATTGTTCTGGAAAAAACTAGTAGGGAATCAAATGTATTTTCTAATTTTCTCCTGCATCCCACTTCAAAGTTTCCAAAAGAGTTGAAACTATGAGTGTTATTCTGAGCTATCTATCATTCTCAGAACATCTAATAAGTCTGTCTTTGTGAAATACAAACTAAAGATGTAATTATTTTTTATTAACAGCTTTTACTACAATACTATGAAAAGGCCCCAGTTACAGTCAGGTACGTGCAGCTGCAGAGTGTGTGTGTGTGTGTGCGCGCGCGTGTGTGTGTGTGTATGCATGTATCTATGTAGACTCCAGGACCCTCTACAGTTTAAAACGTAGTAAAGAGCTTTCAATTGGCTCCAGAAGGATTAGGCTCTCCACGTACCACAATGCTGCAGCAGTTAAAGCTACTGCCTCGGAGATCAAAACTGGTACAGGCATATCCGTATGGCACCTTGCCTGAACTGATAAACCTTACCTCTCTCCACACAACCTTGACACGGATCTCTCAATTCTAGTTACGGACCCAGGTCAGTTGCAACTACTTTAAATGCTGCTGCATCATGCTGCATTGTGCAATGCAGACATCCTTGAAAAACACAGCAAGGTACAGTTCACAACCTTGGGACTGCAGCTTTAAGCTCTAAGATATACACCCAGTATTCTGGACCAAAACACTCATCTAAACTCTGGGGTGAGCTGCCACAGAAATCCTGAGAGGAAGCCCACAAAAAGATGCTCAACAAAGTCTTTTCCGGGTTGGTTACAGCACAATCCCTAAAAAAAGGAGAAGCAGGAGATCATTTGCCCCCTACAAATCTTAAAACAGAAGAACTCTTACACTGATGATGTTGAGAATTTCAGCTCAGCTTGTTTGCACAGCCAGGAAGGGGCACTTTTCTAGTTTTACTGGCAACCGAAACGTAGGTAAAGTTCAGGGGAGCATAAAAATTCATATCCGAATACGAGTTATAAAACTGATGCTTACCCTCAACCCACACCTGCCACCATAACATTCAAGTAACCTCAGTGAAATACATACAAACATGAAGAACTTAGTGAAGTGATTGGGCTTGGACTAGACTGCACTGTTATTCAGTGCTGATATTTTTTGTACTATATTTTTTATTCTCTTTTATGTACCACCCATAAATAAATAGGTACCATAAAAAAACCCTATCAATTGTTTTAAAGAATTAAAAATGAACTTAAGTGTTTTATTTTGTTCCTTAGAGGATGAGATTATCTGAGCAGCAAATACAAAAGGTTCCTTTGTGAAAATATGCCAGAGGAAATAAAACTAACAATTCATAGAAGTTCCACAGACTGGATCCTTTTCACGGGACATTGATAACATCCACTTATCCATTCTCAGGAGAACTTCAAGAATTTGTTTTACAAACTATCCTTAACACAGCAGAGAGATGGCTTTAAAGGCCCTGGTCAAAAAACATGCTGTTTAAAGGTATTATTACGTGTTCCAAGGTGCCAGAATGCCCACTTACCAATCCCATGGACATAAATAGGTTTTGCCTATGTACAGGCTGCAAACTGCAGGCAGAGGTCAGAGGCATGAAGACCCTCCTGACTGGCACGTTCTCAGTGCACCACACTGTGTTTGTATTTTTGCTCCACGGGTCTTACTGAAGAACCAGTATTGTTCAAGATGATGTTCATTTTTGGACATGTAAGCAGAGTTTTAAACACTATAAGATGCATTTTCCACTTAACATTAACCCAGTATAAATTAAGATTAATTTCATTATCCCAATGATAATGAAATGTACAAGCAAACTTTTTTTGCAGCTATACATACAAGTTTCACCACCGATTTGCTCAGCTAGTCTAGGTTATGCGGTAGATTAAGCTACTTAAGGATGGATCCCTCTGCCTCAACAAATCCTTCTCTGCTCTTTTTCAAATGAAACCAATTAATTTGGTCTGTATCACCAGCTCAGGCAGACAATAAGTTATGTTACATCACAACCACTCTTGTCAGTTTTGAAGCCTTCTGTAAAAGGGGCCTGGTTTGGGCTTGAACAAATTGCAATGGTATGAAATGCAGAGGTATGAATCTTTTCATTTCCCTGATTTGTATCTGCAAACATTCAAGGGAGACTCCCTTTCCCTGCTCCCCTTTTGGGAATACCCTTCTTTGTCAGTGAATAAGGGATGAGAAACAGTCAATAAGGTTAAAGGAAGCCAGTTCTCAATGAAGTAAAAGTCATCCTTTACCTAAAAAAAGACTTTGGACTCCCTATAAATAACCTGGGTCAGAGTTGTACACGTAAGATGTACAACTACCTTAATCACAGTGAAAATCATATATTCAGACAAGGAAGTCATGCACTCCATCTACCAAGGTACCTTTACTGAAGACTGACAAAGTTAATCTAAAATGGTTGAAGAATCCTCTTCTAGAGCACAATCTTGGCACGATGTTTGTCATTAAAATCAGGGTTGTAGTTATAAAAGGTAATAGGTCAAAGCAGATACATACATCTGGATTTTTATAACTTTACTCCCCTGATTTGAAAAATGAAGATGTGTAAAATACTGTAAGTCATTCACTTACCATGGATTTGGTGAAAGGTCGAGCCAAGGTGAACAGCAGGGTATACACCCACCAGTTACGATGAATGGAGGAGTAAATCATATTTCCAGGATGGACTGAATTAGACGTCACCCCATGGGGAGAAAGGCGTCGGTTCAGCTCATTGGAGAACAGTATATTGCAAAGCTTGGAACGATTGTAGGCCAACATAGCCCAATACTCCTTCTTAGATGGAGAAAGCAGGCTGAAATCAAGTTTTCCAGAGGAGTCTTTAATTTCTGTAAATCTAAAAAACAGTAAATATGCCTTAGATACCCCAGAGTTAATTTCGCTCTCATTAAGAACAACATAAAATGTAGACAATAGAGTAGAACTTGGCCAGAACCAACATAAAACAACAGCTTATTTAGCAGTTGAAAGCATCTACTGGAAATTACCTGAGACCCAAGCAATAGTCCCATATAACATGGCAGTAAAATTATTGAATAATTAGAAAAAGCAAATGATAAATAAAAACAAGTCAAAAAAGGTTTTAATGATTTAAAGGCATCGTATGTAACTTACGAATCACTTTATTTTAAATCAAAAAAAAGATTTTGCCATAGGTCCGTGAAAGCACAATCAACTTGGAGGAAATAATGTAGGATAAAATAACTCTGCATTAGAAGCAGAGAAAACCAGCATCCTTTCATTTCCCCTTCTTCCCTTCCCCTGATTATTTCATCCAGTGTTCACATACTGCATATTTTCATTTAAGTGTTCGAGTAACTATGGATGAGTCTCACTGCCTCTTAAAACTCTTTTTTAGATTAAAAATTGATGAATATAAAGGGGTTATAACCTTGGTAACTTGCCATCAATAGTCTTATATGTTTAAAAGATAAATGTAAACAAAGCCAAAATGAGTTCTGGCAGAGTATAATGTTTTTAAGTATACCCATGGCATGGCTGAACACAAATCAAAGTAACTAGTTGATGTTTTTTAATTGGGTCTGACAGAGTCATTAAACACCAGCTGTTTGTTTCTTTCCTTTTTTTTTTTTTAATAACAAAGTAGTGAATGTTCTGAAGACGTTTAGATGAAGAAAAGGAAGTTTCCATATAGCATTCCCCCCCAGTTCTTAGAATTTGATTTATCAATTCACTGGTATATCTTAATATTAGAAAATAATACAACATTTAGTTACAGATCTATGTTTCATTCAGAACAGCTACTAAAAATAAAAAGGATTTAGCAAGCTCTTTTTAATACTCAGAGTTCTCAGAATCAGCTGGGGAGAACAGGGATAAACATAATTATAGTACACACTAGAAAAATGTTTTAAAATATCTTTACTAATTTTGCATCTCATGCCCAGAAATGAAGAGATCAGCTGGAATTTCTACATTGATTCTGTGAGCAGAATTATAATACACTCAGAGAAAACCAACTACAGTATTTGAACTCAAGAGGAATCCAGGATGTTCTGTATCTTGCAGAATTAGCCCTTCAATTTCAACAACAAAATTTCTCTTTCATAATTTTCAGTTAGAGAAAATATATTTCTGAAATTAACAGGACTATTTTGGGAGGAATTTCCTATAATCATTCCTCAAGTAATCATTTCTGATACCAAAAATAATATAGAAATAAAATACTTTGTGTATACTGTGTAATGGAAACACGGTGGCATATTTTAGTCCAGTCCTGCAAGTGTGCTTATGTGAATTAATCTTACTTATGTCGGCAATCTCATTGAATTCAGTAGGATAAGGGCTGTACAATCAAATTAACAACACAGAAATAAAGACAGAAGGAAAGTCAACCTACTTATTATTCTGATTTTAATATGATGTGCTTAAAATACCCAAAAGCTTAATTTAAACAGAATTTATTTGTGCTGAATCCAGAGAAGTAACTAGAAATGAAAGAAGAACCAGAGAGGCAAATAAATATTTTGCCTTGGAGCAGTCTAGTATAATATTTTCTGCAAACACGAGACTTTATTTTTCCCCTAACAGGGGGTCTTGACTCCAGCAAAAAGATCCAACCAAGGTTTATGGAAGTAATTAGATACCAACACTTCTGTTTTACAACATAGTTTAAGGCTTAGAGTTCTCAAGTAGGTCAGAAAGTACTACTACCCAGTAATACCTAATGTCTAAACTAACTCCTTACATCAACTTCTTGCCATTAAACAGATTGGGGAGAAAAAGCACAGTTATTTACAATGATCAGTTTAAGTGTTAAAATATGCCATAATACATGAACTGGACTCCTTAGAAAAAGGGAAATTTACTAGTTGTGTTTAGTATTTTATTCAAACATACACTGTTACTTATTTTTTGATGGGCTCCTATAAACCTTGGCTGATCTTACTGAGTTAGCAGTGAGCACTTTAAAAAATGTTTTCGAAAACACAGATAAAGATATCTGTCCAGAGATGTGAGCTCTAGTTACGCATAGCACTTAATACAGTGAAAAACAAAGATGCCATTTAAAATATTATTAGAGATACAAACTTACAAAGGGGAACAAGCAGCTGACAATTCAACATAATCTCCCATTAAATAACAGCTCGTTTATACGTATCCCGTTGTGCCCTCCACATCTGGCAAGTGATTGGAGTTGGCAGATTTATTTCTAGAGCTATCTTGCCTGCCCCGCAGTAGCCTCCCTCACTCCTCACAGGACTCTGCTACTTGCTTTCACAAACCTGGTGTGATTTGCAAAGATAAGGATGTCCAGATTTTGTTACCACCTAATTACTAGACATTTCATGTCTTTTAACACCGGGGAGGATTATTACTGGCATTTTCTATTGCTTCCTTTCATTTCAGCCATCATAAATTTAAAATGGTAAAAGTAAATCTATCTGCAGTGTGTCATTTATACCATAAGCCCCTGTGTTTGGAAGTGATAAAGGTTTCAGCCCGACCCTTGGCTGGTCTCTCTCTACCAGGTCCCTGGGGTTACATTTTATGGAAACATGATTAAAAAAATAAGCTTCATTCTGGGTCACTAAAACATTTCAGAAATATAAAGATGGAAAAAAAACCACCAAACCCAAAAAAGCACTCACACATTCTTCCTTTTGGTTTGCTAGAGCTGTTACACACAACCAAAAGTGAAATAGAAATCAACAGTGTTTAAAGCTGGACATTACAGGTCTAATCCTGCAGTCCCTGAACTAAATCAGAAGGCAGTAAATGGTTTGTGCCTGCTAAAATTCAGCATTAGGGCATGCATTTTGCACAAGGTACTTTATTTAAATCAAATCCGTCTTTTCAGTTATTAATACAAACACCACAAGCATGTCGGAAATAAGACAAACTTCATCAATGTCTTTTTTGCCAACTGTACTTCTCCTGGCAGTAGAGAAGGCGAGCAACTAACATTTTAATTAAAAAATTCACCAAAAGAGGCATGGCCAGATTTCTAATATGTATTAACTACACTACTTCCCATTTTACAATTATACAGCTAATGTCTGCATTGAATTCCCTTATTTCTCATTATAAAACAATTGGATTTCATCTAGCAGTTTTTAATTGCATTGTTTCTCCTGCTAAAATAACTGCACATTCTTCTTGGTAAGATGTTGAAGTTGTTGAATGACAAATCAATATAGGTCATGCCATTCAGATTTAATCAATTATTATTCCATCTCCTCACAAAATCAATGAGTGGTCTGAAATGCGGCAAAAATCTGCATTCATACAATGAATGATCAAAAAATACCTACATACTGTTATAAAACTAGAACACACTTTATCCAGCAACAGAGCCAAATCCAGTAACATCCACAGGCATTAGTAATGATTCTATTTTTAAAAGATTATTCAAACGTAAATGCTTTAGAGCAAGGCCTTTCATTTTCAAAAACTTTTGCGGTTCTGCCATAACTGTTTTATGCTCTAAGGATTGCAGATTTCAGCTAAATCAAAGGTAATGTTCACCAACCTGTGTGATTCGGAGGACACCATCACAACCCTAGCAGGAGATGACCGGCGTAGAACGTCTTCCAGAAGCTGGACAAGATAGAAATGACCCAAGTGGTTCACCTGGAAGGTGGACTCCAGGTCATCCTCCGTCAAGCACCAGGGAGCACCAAACACAGCAGCATTGCAGATCAGTATGTGAAGAGGCCTGAATAATCACAAGTATTGAATAAAATTGAATCAGGAAGAAGAAATCTCAATGAAATACATGCAATTACATTCCTGTGTGAACTGGGCCAAGGTGTGCCTTGGGTGTAGGTGTGAAGGCTTTGGCAGCGGCGCGGTTGCAGGGTGGTTTCTGTGAGAAGGAGCTGCCCTGTGCTGGACGCAGCCGGTTCCAGCCGGTTCTGCAGCGGCCCCACCACAGGGCACAGCAGAGCCCCTCAGCGACACGGGTGGCACCTCTGGAAAAGCATATTTAAGAAAGGGAGAGGGGTGAGGGGAAAAAAAAATTGGAAAACAGCAGCATGAACAGCACGGTGAGAGGAGGGAGGAGGTGTTCCAGGCATGGAAGCAGGACTTTCCCTGCCGCCCAGGGAGAGGCCTCCTGGGGCAGGTGTATTCTGAAGGGCTGCAGCCTGTGGAGAGGGCCCAATGTGGCAGCAGAGGAAAAGTGTGAGGAGGAAGGAGCGGCAAAGAGGAGCTGTTGTGTACTGACCACAACTCCCCATCCTCCTGCGCCGCTCAGGGTGCAGGGAGGTAGAGGAGTTGGGATGAAGGAGTGAAGTTGAGCCTGGGGAAAGGGCAGGGGGAGGAAGGAGAAGAAGGTGGCGTTTTAATTTTTAGTTTTATAGAATCATAGAATCATTTAGGTTGGAAAAGACCTTTTAAGATCATCAAGTCCAATCATTAGCCTAAAACTGCCAAGTTCACCACTAAACCATGTCCTCAAGCACCACATCTACCCATCTTTTAATT